GGGGGGGAGTAAAGCATTTTGCAACAAAGGAAAACCTACCTCTCTGGGTCGAACCAATGAAAAGCGGTTGCTACAGTAACCAAATCCACACTCCCTGAACTTATAAACTTGAGGTCATACGCTGAGCCACACCGGAAGCTGATGTCGCTCATGTGCTGGGGTGCTTGGCTGATCTGTTTCTCACTGCTGTCTACGGCGATCACCTGTGGGAGACACAGAGCTTTGAAGTGGGTCTTTTTAAAAATCTCAGCTGATAAAGATTTTTACTTGACTGACAAACGATTAACAAATAAATGGACGTATATCACGATAAGCAATCAATAAGAAATTCATTCATTCATTCAATCAATCAATCAATCAATCAATACATGAATGAATGTTTTAATAAACGCAGTGGCTACGTTCACGGCGCCCTGAATGCAGTTTGCAATTTAAGAATGATCTTGCTCACTTCACCCCTACCCTTTTCCCTTTTGCGTCTTCTTTTTTTCACCCCCCCTCCCCAACCCCTCTTCCAGCCTTGGCCTTCTTGTTCCATTCTCCGTTGTTTCTTCGAACGACTTTTATTTTCAAATTGTCGAGCGTTGCCGGGTCCGCACCCCGGAAGAGAAGATCGAAGTCGTGTTCCACGCGTTGAGCGAGCGAGGTCTTGTCGACCGCTGCTGTTTTGCTGTGTCCACCTTCGTCCGTTGCATTCGGACATTGACTTACTATTAAAATACACAAATAGTAGATAAAGTATATTATTATGCATTCAGACCACCGCTGCATTACTTTTGACGCGAGTCTTCCTGTGCCGTTTCCACATTCACTTTGAAATTTGAGCGACCGTAGCGTTTCAGTCGTGCCTCTGTGCCAATGGTGGATGATTCAGGGCGCCGTGAATGTGGCCATTGCGTTTAATAAAATTGAATCTACTCACGGACAAGGGCTCAATGGAAAATTTCCCAAAAGTACACACTCAGACACACACACACACACACACACACACACACACACACACACACACACACACACACACACACACACACACAAATAATTCTTTTTGAATGTAGCCAACCTGTTTGAAGAACTTTGCCAAGGGCAGCGTACTCTGTCCAGAACCACAGGCCACATCAACCGCCAGCTCCCAGGTACAAGTCTCCGACTCTTGACAAAACTTGAAGACCTTTTCGTAGAGTCTGTCTGGGTACGTGGGCCTGTACTTGATATAGAGCTTGCTGCTGTCTTCAGAACAGAAGAACTGCGAGTGGTCCGGAGTGAATTTATCCATATTTGAGATGATTAGAAGATTGGCTGCATGAGGCGTCCTGGCCGCTGTTCAGGTGAATGATCGTGTCTGTAAGTAAATGTATGGGTTTAAATCCCCTATCAACACTATTAAGTTATTTAAGGGACAGTGCCTCCGAATTTAACGTCTGTCTCCGATAAGATCGAACAAAACGGGTCGAGAGCTTCTAAACACCACAAAATGACCCGAATTCAAGAACTACCAGTCTGGGATGTAAACCGAGGCCACCCGCTAGATAATCCAGCATGTTACAGGCTGAGCTAACGGACGGCCCATAGTGTCTGTGGTCAGCGTAACAACTTTGTTAGGAAGAAAAGTGATCATCTTAAACCGACGGTCCATTCGGGCAGTGTTATTGCAATGCACCATTTGCTCCTGTGAGCTTAGAGCAGGGGTGTAAAACTAAATTGCCAAACTCAAATTGCAGTTTAAGGTTGCGGGCCGAACTGGACCAACGCACATTAAGCAGCGTAAAAACAAGCCTTTTTTTTAGAGAATAATATTCTGAATTAAAGCAGACAAAGTTTAAAGTTATTCCCAATAAAGGCATAACAATTTTTGCTCGTATACCAGTTTGTCGGAGCTGGACGATTTGCACATGTTCTTATCAACGAGCTTGTTTAGGTCTGGACTAAGGTTCTGAGTTTAAGAGATTCTCGGGGTGGACAACCTAAAACCTGCAGGACAGATACGATTGTTCGCCGGGCAAGATGCGGCCCCTGGGCCCTGAGTTTGACATTCTGTGACCTAGAACTTTAGGGATTAGATGATGATGATCAAAAATTCATTAAAAAATCAACTGACTATGCTAGACCGATGTCAAATATACCACTGGAAAGCTCATTCAAAGCTCTATATGAAAAAAGTAGTAGAAACTGTATATCAAGACTGGGTACTAAATGCTGCTACAAAAAGTAGGAAACACTTTGAAAAATTAGCAGTGTTCAACTAAACATACGACTTTTCAAAAAATCATAAAAAATCAACTAATTATGTTAGACAGATGTCAAATATACCACTGGAAAGCTCATTCAAAGCTCTATCTGAAA